CGTGGTCCCAGCGCCGCTCCTCGGGTTTCCGTCCCCGCTCTTCGAGCCCTGCACCGTTCCTCTCGAGTGCGGCCCCTTTGGGCCCGTTGCCGGGCCCCGGCGCTGGTTGTCAGGAGTGGACCCGGAGCGGGGGCGGGCATCCGCCCCCAGGGGAGACGGTGGAGTTCTTCTGGGCCGCGGGCGGCACAGGGCACAGCGGCCGACGGCGCTGCGGAGCCCTTGGGGGCCGTCTGGGCTCCGTGAGGCGTGCCCGGGGGCGCCACCTCTGTCTCCCTGGAGAGGCCCCGCGGGCGCCCCTGGGCGAGGGCTACCCCTGGCAGCCCCCGGGCCCGTGCGGGGCTCTGACGCCGGAGCAGCACGACCAGTTCTTCCCGAGGAGCAGACAGCGGCCACTGAGAGCCCCGAATCATCAGGGGTAACTCGGGTCAGGGCTAACTCGGGTTCCTTTTTCGGGAATCCACAAGCCCGAGTTACCCCGGACCCAAGTTACCCCGGATAACTCGGGCGCCCAGGGCCACGCGCCGCAGACCTCCGGAGGCCCGCGCGGACGCCGTCGGGGTCGGCGGTGGGCCCCTGCCGGCCCCTCTTCGGGGGGGGGCGGCGCCGGCCCGAGGAGTCTCCGCGCGGGCGTCGGCTCGTGCCGCTCTCGGCTCCTCCTGCCCTCGGCCGGGGCTGGGTGCTGGTGCACGACCTGGTGCCACGCGCGGCGCTGCGGCGGGCCATCTCGTCCGTGAGCTCGCTGGTAGACGAGATCGCCGACCGCCTGCACGCGGCGGGCAGGATCAGCGACAGGTGCGAGGGTGACGGGTTCACCACGCGACTGATTCGCTTGGAGGAGCAGTTCGCCCACGCCAGCGTGCTACTCCACAAGAATGGCGTGCTGCCTTCCGGGATCCAGGAGGTCTGGAGCCATCCTGCTCTGGTCGGAGTGGCGGCCCAGTTGTTGGGCGAGGACTCGGAGATTTGTGGTCACCCAGTCTGGAATCTGAGGTGCAAGACTCCCGACGACATTAGCAGGGGGCAGTCCACGGTTCCGTGGCACCAGGATAACGCCTACTTGGACGAAGAGTGTTGGGACAAGCTGCAGGTGACGGCGTGGGTGCCCCTGGTGGACACCAACGCCGCCAATGGATGCATGCAGGTCGTCGACGCCGCCCACAGCTCTGGGCAGACAGTGAACCACGCCTGCTGCGTCGGTGGCACCTGGTACGTCGAGGCCATACCAGAGGAGTTTGAGGCGACACTAGGATGCGATATGGCAAAGGACGTCATTACCTGCGAGGTCCCGTTGGGATCGGTGCTATTCCTGAACAACCTGATCCCTCACCGCAGCCTGCCGAACCTCTCCGACGGCATCCGCTGGTCCCTGGACCTGCGCTGGCAGCGTGGCGGCGAGCCGAACGGCTTCAGCGGCATCAAGGAGTCCGTCCTCATGAAGCGGCCCGGCGACATGGGAAGCTACCGCGCCGACGTCGACTGGGGTGACTGGGCGTCCACCCCTCTCTTGGAAGCGGCGAAGGAGAACCGGAGCCTGAGCGAGGAGCAGCGTGCCTCTGTCGAGGCGGTGGGCAGGGCTGAGGGTCGGTTCGATTCCGACCCGGCGCTGGACACGACCATAGTCGGACCGTGGATGCACCGCTGGGGGAAGGTGCTCCACCACAATCGGCACACAGAGGCGGCGGAGGCGGCGATGCGCTAGGCGCAGCGCAGCTCGCCGCGGGCTTCGAGGCGGGCTGTGTACCTGCGCGACCCCCGTGCGTGGGTTCGCTCCCTGGCGGGTGTATGGCAGCTCGGCGCTCGGCGAATCAGAAGAGAGGTCATCGAAGCTGTCAGCACATGTGCAGGTGCAGATGCACGCAGGTATCTATTCCTCTTCATCCTCTTCCTATATTTTTTGCAAGCCCTGGGGCGACCCCCCCCCCGAAAGCTGGACCCCTGGATCCGTGGCCCCGGGGGCCCCCTGGACGCACCTGCAGGAGGCCCCATAGGATTCCCGGGGCTCCTGGAAGCCATTGCCGGGCCCAGGCAACGGGCCCGAATCGGTCAGGAGGGCGGCCGAACGGCCCTCGAGGCCCCCGAGAGGCCCCAGACACCCAGCAGACGCCCGAAGACGACCCAAAGAAGACCCCCCAGAGCCAAGAGGCTTCCAAAATGCAGAAAAACGTTGATTTTCATTTTTTGGGAATGATTGTTGGTTCTTGGTCTGGTTATTGAATGATTTTGGGGATGCTCTGTTCTTCGGTCTTTCGGGCGTCCGAGGCCGCCCATGAGGCCCGAAAATCGCCGCAAAATTCCGAAAGGGTTTCCAGGCAGGCCAGGAGAGCCCCAAGACAGCACGGTTCCAAGATGGCTCGAGGAGAGCCCCATGACCGCCCAAGATGGCCCCAAGACGCCCCCTGGAGCGTTCCAAATCGTGACCCAGTCGTTCAGCGAGACCGCGGTTGGAAGCAGGATGGCCCGAGGAGGCCCCCAGAGCCCCCCAGAAGGCGCCCAGGTGGCCTCCAGAAGGCCCCAAGAAGCTCCTACCTTCGTGAGGCCCCCACACGGCTCTCCAAGGAGGAGTTTCCACAAAAAGAGCTGAGGAGCATGGGGAAGAATTCGCAGGGTAGGGCGAGAAGTGGGAAGAGGAAGAGGAACCATGAGGGAAGGATAATGGATACTATTATTGGCCCGGCGATGCCAGAAAAGGCAACAAGGCGTTTTCGCTAAGTTGTTTGTTTTACCTTCCTGCCCTTCCGCCTGCATACCAAGCTTCCAGGACCAAGGTACATGACATGGCGCGAAGCGCCAATGAAGTCTTGCGTGTGTGTATATATATATATATAGCAGATGATGATTCCTGTTGGTTGTTGCCTCGCCTGGGGCGTGCCATGTGTTGGAGCACCTCCCGGTGCCGCTGCAGCTCTGCCCAGCTCGACTGCGGTTTCCGTCGTGCAGTGCTGGCTCGCACTTGACCCGGGTGGGCCTCTCGAGCCGCCGCAGGGGCGGCCCGCCCTCCGCCGCGAGACAAAAGGCAAACAGCCGAAGGCACCCCGACCGTGAGGACAGAGAGCATACCTACGGATACGATGTACGTTTTCGGAGGAGGAGGGAGGAGGAAGAGGAGGAGGAGGCGGAGGAGGAGGCGGTGGAGGAGATGAGGAGGAGGAGGAGGAGGAGGAGGAGGAGGAGGAGGAGGATGTACGCTTCTCTGGCGTCGGGCTTCCGCGGCCGTCCTCTGCTCCTCCACACGCTCTGGTGCGCTCCGTGTCAGGCGCGGCCCAGGCTGTGCCCGGCCGCGCCTTCGATCGCCGGCGGTGCCGACTGGAGTGTTTGTGTCGGGGGTGGACAGAACCCCTAACAGTGACACGTCGATTGGTGAATGGTCCGTTTTCGGCTCTCGAGAGGGCGCCGTGGCCGTTATTTTCCAGGCCTGCGCCCGCCGGGTTTGGGCCTCAGGTCGTTTTCACCAAACCACGTTTTACTAAAGGGGGGTCTGTCCATCCCGATTGTGGCGCTGGAAGCACCTGTATCTTGCTGGAGTCGGAGCCCGCAGCGCAAGGCAGTGACGACAGCGTTGCAAGTGAGACAGGCGTGCCCACACGGTGACGCCGCCGCTGCGGGGAGGCTGTCGGTGGCGTCGGTGTTGGTGGTTGGCGGCGGCAGTGGCCGTGCCTGTGATGCTGTCAGCGATGGTGGGAATAAACACACTGTCGGAAAAAAAGACACACTGTGGGAAAACACACACACAGTGGGAAAAACACACACACACACACGCACACGCACACGCACACGCACACGCACACGCACACGCACACGCACACGCACACGCACACGCACACGCACACGCACACGCACACGCACACGCACACGCACACGCACACGCACACGCACACGCACACGCACACGCACACGCACACGCACACGCACACGCACACGCACACGCACACGCACACGCACACGCACACGCACACGCACACGCACACGCACACGCACACGCACACGCACACGCACACGCACACGCACACGCACACGCACGCGCACGCGCACACGCACACGCACGCGCACACGCACACGCACAACGCACACGCACACGCACACGCACACGCACACGCACACGCACACGCACACGCACACGCACACGCACACGCACACGCACACGCACACGCACACGCACACGCACGCGCACCCGCACCCGCACCCGCACCCGCACCCGCACCCGCACCCACCCACGCACGCACGCACGCACGCACCCACGCACACACGCTCGCCCGCACGCACGCACGCACGCACGCACGCACGCACGCACGCACGCACAGCACACGCACACGCACACGCACACGCACACGACACGCACACGCACACGCACAGCACAACGCACACCGCAAACGCACACGCACACGCACACGCGACACGCACACGCACACGCACACGCCACACGACACGCACACGCAAACGCGCACGCGCACGCGCACGCGCACGCGCACGCAGCACAGCGCACGCGCACGCGCACGCGCACGCGCACGCGCACGCGCACGCGCACGAGCCCGACGCACGCGCACGCGCACGCGCACGCGCACGCGACGCGCACGCGCACGCGCACTCGCCACGCGCAGCGCACGCGCACGCGCACGCGCACGTGCACGCACACGCACACGCGCACGCGCACGCGCACGCGCACGCGCACGCGGCACGCGCACGCTCACGCGCACGCGCACGCGCACCGCACCGCGCACGCGCACGCGCACGCGCACGCGCACGCGCACGCGAACGCCACGCACGCGCACGCGCACCGCACGCGCAGCGCACGCGCACGCGCACGCGCACGCGCACGCGCACGCGGCACGGCACGCGCACGCACACGCACACGCCACACACGCAACGCACACGCACACGCACACGCACACGCACACGCACACGCACACGCACACGCACACGCACACGCACACGCACACGCACCCGCACACCGCACACGCACACGCACACGCACACGACACGCAACGCACACGGCACACGCGCACGCTGCACGCACGCAGCACGCACGCACGCACGCACGCACGCACGCCCGCACGCCCACACACACACACACACACACACACTCACACACACACACCCACACACAAACACACAACACAACACACACAACACACACACACACACCACACACACCATCACACAACACACACACACCCCCACACTGTGTGTGTGTTTTTTTCCACCGTGTGTTTTTTGTGTGTTTGTTTCCCACAGTGTGTGTGTGTGTGTGTGTTTTCCGTTGGCGTGCTCGGCGGCGGGTGCTGGTGCTGCTGGCGGCTGTGGCGGCACGCGGCTGGTTGTGCCACCGCTGACCCCCACCACGGCTCCCGCGGCGCCCCCAGGCGCGCGGAGGGCGGCCAGGAGGCGGCCGCGGAGGACCCCGCCGCGCCCGCTGGGCGCCCGCGGAAGAGCTGGCAGGAGCCCTCACACACACTGTGTGTGTGTTTTCCCACACTGTGTGTGTGTTTTTTTCCACCGTGTGTTTTTTGTGTGTTTGTTTCCCACAGTGTGTGTGTGTGTGTGTGTTTTCCGTTGGCGTGCTCGGCGGCGGGTGCTGGTGCTGCTGGCGGCTGTGGCGGCACGCGGCTGGTTGTGCCACCGCTGACCCCCACCACGGCTCCCGCGGCGCCCCCAGGCGCGCGGAGGGCGGCCAGGAGGCGGCCGCGGAGGACCCCGCCGCGCCCGCTGGGCGCCCGCGGAAGAGCTGGCAGGAGCCCTCCGCCTCCTCGTCCTGCTCCTCCTACTCTCAAGTCGGGCCTGTCCCCCTACAGGGGGATTGTCGTCGAAAATAGAAAATACCCCGAATAAATATGCAAGCCATAGTCCCAAAATAGTCTGGGGACTGTTTTTTGACTATTTGTTTTGCCTTTTTTCGTATTTTGGGGGTGTTCTTTATTTCTCGTTGAAAATCCCACTGTAGGGGGACAGGCCCGACATAATCCTATTCCTCCTCTCCGTATCTTCGGACTGTCTTTCCGCCCCCCCCCCTCCCTCTTATGTTCTTCCTCCTCGCCCCCCCCTCTCCTCTTTTTGTCCCCCCTCTGCCTCTTCCTCCCTGCCACTCCGCCCAGCTCTGGGCCTCCTCCTCTCCTCCTGGGGCCAAGGCCTCCGAGGGCCTTGTAGGGGCGTTGGCTGTGGCCACTTCTCTTCTGCTTCGTGTTTTTGCTATGCTCTCTAATGCTTCTTCTTATCTCCGCCTCCCAACCTCCTTTCCCAACCCCACTCCATATCCCCCTTGCTCCCCCTCCCTTCCCTTGGCTTCACATCATGATGATGCCAGCGCGTGGGCGGACCCCAGACAGCAACTCCTTGCTATCTGTGCGGCGTCGGGTTGAATGAGCACATTGGAGCCCGCAGGAAACCAGGCGAACGCTGGAAACAGTGAGGCACCCAGGTCCGGGGGAAGCCGTACGAGTCCGTGTGAGCCCACGAGGCGCCGATCAGCCGCCAGAAAAAGTGCGGCACCCTGGGTCGGTTCTATACGGAATGCTGCTAGCGCGCGGACCCAACACGACGGGTGCTGGTGTTCTCGATGGTGGAGCTATGTGCCAAGCAAGGGGAGTCAGCCATAGAGCACACCATTCGCAGGGCACCGTGCCATAGGGCAGACGCGTACAGTCGGGGCCCTGAAGAAGGAACCCTTTTTGTTGGGGAGGGGCTCCGTGTTCCTTACTTGCTTTACAGTGCTCCTTGAGTTTTCCTGAGGTTTCATGGAACGTCGGAGTTTAATCTATGGGAAAAAGGGGCCTCGTTCCTTATTTATCGTTCCTTAGGTCAACGCCCCGACTGTACTGCGGCACCAACCCTGGGGCACCCGCCACAGGGCACCAATCACAGGGCCCCACCAGGCACCAACCGTGGGTCCCCAGCCAACGGGCACACCAGGGCACCAGCCAGACGACACCACAGGGCACCCACCAGGCACCAGGTGCCGCCGTTCGGCGGACACCAGCCATGGGGCACCTTCAGAGGGCTCCGACGGGCGAGAGGCCGACCGTGGCGCAAAGGACCAGGTCTCCTGAGCTCAAGCGAGAATCCTCTGGCGCAAGCGCTGCTTTGGGACTGTAGCGGATCTAGACCCTCGGGGCGAGGGGAGTCGCTTACAGCTGACGCCACGAGACAGAGTGCACCTTTTACCAATCCCAGCTCTGGAACGGGCTGCGCCAGTCATCCCCACGAGGTTTGCCAGCGAGTGTCGGTAATCTTGTGCCACGGTGCCTTCTTCCGATGTTGGGCCGTTGTTCGGCAGCTTCCGTTAAGCTGTCTTTCTGTATCTGGCATCCCCCACGTACACGCCGGTCGTTGAACGTAGGTATTTGTGGATTCCCGGATCCCAATCTTTTTTAGCCGCCTTCCTATTTCAAGAGTCGAGTGGTCTTCCCTCTGGAATCGGCTGCGCCAGTGGACGACCTCCGTTGGGCTGGTCGGAGGCCTCAGGAGCGCGCTCGGGGGGAAGGGTCGCGCCTGTGGACGACCTCCGTGGGGGTTGATTTCGATCAGGAGGGGAAACAACCAACAGACACAATTAATCCTCGATTCCCCGGAAAATATGGGAAGTGGGGGGAAAGACAGAAACCCAGAAAATATGGGAAAATATGGGGAATCCTTTTATTTGTGTGTGTTTATTTTTGTGTCCCAGTTCCCCTTCAATCGCGCCTGTGGACGACCTCCGTGGGGCTTGGTCTTTGAAGGCCTCGGGAGGGCGACGCCGTGGCATCCACAAGAGGGCTGTGTGCTCGGGAGCGCGGGGTCGAGGCCTCAGGAGGTCATCGAGAGGTCGAGAGGGGGAGGAGGAGGAGGAGGAGGAGGAGGAGGAGGAGGAGGAGGAGAGGAGGAGGAGGAGGAGGAGGAGGAGGAGGCAAGGAGGAGGAGGAGGAGGCAAGGAGGCAAGGAGGCAAGGAGAGTGGCGGAGGGGAGGGATGACCGAACGAGGGGACGAGCCAGGCCTCGACCCCGCGCTCGGGAGGTCGAGACCCGTGCATGTTGCACTGGGATGTCGTTCTGAGGAGCTCGAGTCTGGCGCAAGGTCTGGGGGATTGCGGCTCCATGTTGCCGGGGAGCGTGGCTTCGGGGGCGCATGCTTGTTATCTTTTACGGGGGGCTGTTGCCTGGGGAGCGCGAGTATGGCGTACTGTGCAATGGATCGTTTTTTGTCGGGAGCGCCAGCGCGTAGTTCGTCACAGGAGTTTGTTGCTTCGGGAGCGCATGTGAGTAGTGATTCACTGTGGTGTGGGGCTTCGGGATAGCCAGCCTGCAGTACGTTACGGGAGACTGCGGCTTGGGGGCCGCGAGTATGGAACGTGTTGCAGGAGATGGTTGCTTCGGAAGCACCAGCGCGTAGTTCGTTGCTTCGTGGATAGTGTTGTTATTTACGAGGGGTAGTGGCTTCGAGGGAGCGACCTTGCAGACTTTACGAGAGGTCGTTATTTGGGGAGCGCGAGTCTGGCGTAATTTGCAAGGGATTGGATTCGAGAGTGTCGACAGGTATTAAGATACGAGGGGTTGTGGCCTCGGGGGCGGTCTGGCTCACGGATTGCGGCCCCTGGAGCGCGAGCCTGACGTAACGTACGCAGGAGTCTGGCTTGGGGGGCGCGAGCCTGGCGTACTTTGGGATGGATTGTGGCGTCAGGAGCGCGAACCGAGTGCACTTCACAAGGGATTGTCGGAACAAACCACATTGTTTTTTAGTTAAAACACACACACAGGCACACACACACATACACACACATACACACATATACACACATATACACACATACACACATACACACATACACACATACATACATACACACATACACACATACACACATACACACATACACAAATACACACATACACACATACACACACAAACACACAAACACACAAACACACAAACACACACACACACGCACACACTGTGTGTTTTTTTTCCCCACAGTGTGTTGTTTTTGTGTGTGTGTGTTTATTGTGTGTGTTGTTCCCACAGTGTGTGTGTGTGTGTGTGTGTGTGTGTGTGTGTCTGTGTTTGTTTTTTTTTTTCCCACAGCTTCGGGGCTCGCCGACGCGAAGTAATGTACGAGGGACCGTGGCCTCGGGAGAGCGAAGCTGTTGTACCGTCGTGCGTGCCGCGGCCCACCATACATTGAGGCAGCGCCGTCATGGCGTGGCCCGCGGGCCCTTCTCGCTTGGCATCGCTCGGACGTGTGCACTTTTTCTCGGCGAGGGCGATCGAGGAGCATCCTTGATCATTTGGCGAAAAAACCTTGCACGAAACCGAACAAAACAGGGAATGGACGTCCGAGCGATGGCCAGTTTCGGGCTCACCCCCTCGCGCAGATCTCAATCGTTACAGCAGCGGGTCAAGTAAAGCGAGCATCGTAAATTATACATTGGGAACTGGAGCTATTGCAGGGAGGTGGAACACCTCCGCCTCGCAGCCTGTTGGCCCCCAAGGGGGCTGGCGGACTCGAAACAGTTTGATCATATTGTGGCCCTGTTGTGCGACTGGACGCCGTATGGCCTGGACCCAATCACGCCGCAATGACTCGCATGCGATGCTTGCGGTTTTCTTATGGGCGTAGATGCTTTTCGCCCGGGTTGGTTTTCGCCCGGTGCGTTTCGCCCAGTTCGTTTCGCCCGGGTTCGCTTTCGCCCAGTTGGCTTTCGCCCGGGTTTGCTTTCGCCCGGGTTGGCTTTCGCCCGGGTTGGCTTTCGCCCGGGTTGGCTTTCGCCCGGTTGGCTTTCGCCTGGGGTGGCTTTCGCCCGGGTTGGCTTTCGCCCGGTTGGCTTTCGCCCGGTTGGCTTTCGCCCGGGTTGGCTTTCGCCCGGTTGGCTTTCGCCCGGGTTGGCTTTCGCCCGGTTAGCTTTCGCCCGGGTTGGCTTTCGCCCATGCTCGTTTTCGCCTGGTTCAGCGCCGCGGGGCCCGGCGCCGCCCTGGCCGGCGCTGCCGCCCCAGCCGCGGTGCCCGAGGCCGCTAGCCCTCGCTTGGTGCCAACGAACCGGCATGGGCTCAAATTGCTTCACGCAGGCTACTGCTACAGGATCAAGCACACCAGCAAGAAAGGCATCTCAATGTGGGAGTGCTACAAATGCTCCGCGTCCATCAGGAGCGCGGGGGCAGCGGACATGGATCCCGGGCAAGGGCCCCGGGCCGGCCCCGACACAACCCGCCCGTTAGAGTCCGCCCGCCCGATCGGACCCGCACGTTAAGGTTCGCGCATGCGCACTCGAGCGCGCCCGGCACTTTCGTGTTCCGCCCGCCCGACTCGACCCGCCCGTCAGGGTCCGCCCAACCCGACCCGACCCGTCCCGCCCGTTAGGGTCCGCCCGACCCGACCCAACCCGGCCGTTAAAGCTCGCGCGTGCTCGTCCCGCCGCGCCCAACACTTTAGTGTCCCGCCCGCCCGACCCGACCCGCCCGTTAGGGTCCGCCCGGCCCGACCCGACCCGTCCCGCCTGTTAGGGTCCGCCCGCCCGACCCGACCCGCCCGTTAGGGTTCACGCGTGCTCACTCGAGCGTACGTGCACACTTCAATGTTCTCCCTGCCCGACCCGACCCGCCCGCTAGGGTTTGCTCGTCCCGACCCGGACCCGCCCCGCCCGCCCGACTCGACCCGACCCGCCCGTTAGGGTTCACGCGTGCTCACTCGAGCGCGCCCCACACTTTAGTGTCCCGCCCGCCCGACCCGACCCGCCCGTTAGGGTCTGCCCGACCCGACCCGACCCGCTTCGCCCGCCAGGGTCCGCCTGCCCCACCCGACCCGCCCGTCAGGGTTCACGCGTGCTCACTCGAGTGCGCCTCCACACTTTAGTGTCCCGCCTGCCCGACCCGACCTGCCCGTTAGGGTCCGCCCGGCCCGAACCCGCCCCGCCCGTTAGGGTCCGCCCGACCCGACCCGACCCGCCCGTTAGGGTTCACGCGTGCTCACTCGAGCGCGCCCCACACTTTAGTGTCCCGCCCGCCCGACCCGACCCGCCCGTTAGATCCGCCCGACCCGACCCGACCCGCTTCGCCCGCCAGGATCCGCTCGCCCGACCCGGCCCGCGTGTGAGGGTCCGCTCGACCCGTCCCGCCCGTTAGGGTCCGCCCACCCGATCGGGCCCGCACGCTGGGGCTCACGCGTGCCCACTTGATCGCGCCCCGCACTTTTTAGCGTCCCGCCCGCCCGACCCGACCCGCCCGTTAGGGTCCGCGCGGCCCGACCCGACCCGCCCCGCCCGTCAGGGCCCGCCCGCCCAACACGACCCGCCCGTCAGGGCTCACGCGAGCTCACTCGAGCGCGCCCCAAACCTCAGTGTCCCGCAGCATCCGGGACCTCCTTGACACCCCCCCCACGTCTCTGCGACCCTTTCGCCTACTCAAGCGGCGCGCCTCAAAGGCTCCCGGGGGTCAGCACGGCGGCGGCGACGGCCACGCCAGCGACGGCGGCGCCTGCTTTTGCCCCTGAGCCTGCCCCGCCTGCTCCCCGCCCGGCCCCGGCGAAAGCCAACCCCGCGAAAGCCAACCCCGGCGAAAGCCAACCCCGGCGAAAGCCAACCCGGCGAAAGCCAACCCCGGCGAAAGCCAACCCGGCGAAAGCCAACCCCGGCGAAAGCCAACCCCGGCGAAAGCCAACCCGGCGAAAGCCAACCCGGCGAAAGCCAACCCCGGCGAAAGCCAACCCCCGGCGAAAGTCAACCCCGGCGAAAGCCAACCCCAGCGAAAGCCAACCCCGGCGAAAGCCAACCCGGCGAAACGAAGCCCGGCGAAACGAAGCCCGGCGAAAGCCAACCCCGGCGAAAGCCATCCGTGCCTTTCTTATGAAGTTGATCAGTTTCAGCACCCGGTGAGTATGTGCGCCACCTGGGATTACCTTTGCGATCATAAATGGCACATGGCATATTCCCGCAACTGTCGACGAGGTGGCATCCACAGTTCTGAAATACGGTCCTTTACCCGTCAGATGTAGGCACCTTGTTGCTTGTCGCCGCAAATGACCTGGCGGCCCACCTACATTATCTTTGAGGCATGTTCTCGTTCTCGCACAAGGCGCAAACCTCGGACCTCCAATGAAATTCTGCGCAACACATGTTTAGATCAGGCATAACGTGTGAAGGAAGCCTCTGCAGGCATGTCGTTGAGGTAGTTTGAACTCTTAGGGTCTGTGTGGCTGTGAGGAGTGTGTGGCGGCATCCTTGCTTCGCACGCACACGCAGAGAGTCTAGTCGGCACGACAGCTTTGCACTAAAAAATGCATAAACATGCCAGTGCATCGGGGCTCAACGACGAAGGCAGCCTTGTCTTTCTTGAGAACGGGAAAAGGGGACCGCGCCCCGAGGACGGTGCGGCCAGGTTCCTGAGCAAGGTGCAGGACGTGTTTGCCGTGCTGGACCCGGGCCTCCAGTACAAGGTGCAGGAGACAGCGAAGGAGCTGGAGGTGGGGCACCTCGTTTTCCCTGACGTTCCCGCTCACGCTCTTCTAACATAATGTGTTTCGGATATGATGCATGGTTTGTTTGGAGATGATGTGTGTGTATATATAGCTGTATCAACACATCATATATATATGTACACGTATAGATTAAACGCTCCAGATTGTGCAAATGGAGCCGACTTCTTGGCGGCTCCTTTTGTTTAAGATCCCGGTAGAAAGCCTTATTCTGGTTTTTCGAATTCCGTGAGAAGGTTGTGCCCCAGAAGTTTCCCAACGTACCCCTTCCATCCACAGAGCGAGAAGGATTTTCGCCTTGGACTCGGCAGTCGCACTCATGATTCCAGTATTTCTAGTTCTGACTGGAACGCACGACTGTTGTTTTACATGTGCGCTGATTTGAATATAATTTGCTTCTTCACTTGATTCGTACCTTATCTAGCCGTATGTAGGGTATTGGTTGTATCAAGGGCCATAGCCAGATCCGCATGTGATAAACAAGAACCCTTCATATACTTGGACGAAACGGAAACTCACTGCGTCAGACGAAACCAAAGGACCCATTCAAACTCTACGGGGGCGGACTTTTGTCCGACTCCGGACCAGCCCACGGGGGGGGAGCGCCAGCAAGTGGGCCCCCTTCCTGGGGGGGAGGGAGGGAGCCTCGTCCACGAAGAGGGCTGCAGGCCAGACGGCAGCAACTCGAGCGAATCTTCGGGAGCGCGCATGGGTTGCCGGTCTCCTAATCATACTTTTCGGCTGGGCGGTCAGTGTGGGGAGGAGGTGTGAGGAGTAGGAGTAGGAGTAGGAGGAGGAGGTGGAGGAGGAGGAGGACGAGAAGGAGGAGGTGGTGTGGAAGAGGAGGAGCAGATTCGTCTCTCCTCCCCCCTCGCCTCTTGCTGAAGAAGAGGCGAAGAACGCCGAGCTCGAGGCGCTGGAGGGCGAGCTCCTTGAGGAGCGCGATGCGCGCATCAAGGCCGAGGCCATCGCCGAGGAGATGGGGCTCAGGCGCGCCCCGGAGGCAGGGGGGAGGAGATAGTATGGACGAGGAGTGTGGCGATGGTGATGGTGATGGTGGTGGTGGTTTTGAGCAAACAGAGGATTGGGGAGGAGGAGCAGGAGCAGGAGGAGGAGGAGGAGGAGGAGAAGGAGGAGGAGAGGGAGGAGAGGAGGAGAGGGAGGCGAGGGAGGAGAGGGAGGAGAGGGAGGAGAGGAGGAGAGGGAGGAGAGGAGGAGGAGGAGGAGGAGGAGGAGGAGGAGGAGGAGCGGAGGAGGAGGAGGAGGAGGAGGAGGAGGAGGAGGAGGAGGAGGAGGAGTTATGCCCGCTCAGGAACAGTGTTTAGGGGCAAACATTGCGCCTGCTGCATCCGATTCAAGGCCTTGGTCGCCCGGGGGGTGCCACGGCCAGACCCCGCGCTCGAGCAGCCGGAGGTTTCCCGCCCCCGACTGGGCAGGAGGGCCACACATTGCCTTGGCCTCGCTCGGAGGTGTGCATTTTTCCTTCGGCGAGGACCATCGAGGAGCATCCTTGATCATTTGGCGGAAAAACCAAGCACGAAACCGAACAAAACACAGGGAATGGACGTCCGAGCGATGGCCAGTTGCCGCATGGCCTCTCAGAAGCCCGTTCTCCCTCGCAGCGCACAGCCCACAAGTGGAACAGGAAACTCTGGAACTGGGGCGTGGGCTCTAGCCGTGCGACGGGGGTGAATGACTCTGTCAGCAACCCTGGTCCCTGGAGGCACGGGGAACGACTCACCAGCAACAAGTGGCTCCGCCGCCTGGCAGGTACTCGCCAGCCACTCGATGATATCCTGCGTAGGGCCCCCGTCGGCTCTCCAGGCAGCGACGACGCGAGAAGCGGGGGCCCGCCTTCCCTCTTGTGCCCTCTGGCCGCACGATCTCATGAGGCGTATCAACCAGGGCACGGTCCAGCGGCTTGACTCTAGGGTACTCGGGCCGCGATGGCGCGCGTTCGATCCGAGACGTACCCACCCGAGGGTCCACACGCGCACACGGCCGCCAGACGCTTCCTATCAGGGGGAAAAAACACACAGGCACAATTAATCGTCGATTCCCAGAAAATACAGGAAAATATGGGCAGTGGGGGGAAGACAGAAACCCAGAAAATATGGGAAAATATGGGGAATCCTTTTATTTGTGTGTATTTATTTGTGTGTCCTGGGGCCCCTTCATCCTAATCCTGCTAGCAGGCCTCTCGCCCTCCCGGGCTCGATCGGCTTCGGCCCCTGAAAAGCTGGAGACGAGGAGCGGCCGCCTCGGCCTGGCGGTCCACAGTGCTGTCGGCCTCCCCCTCCAGCGGTCAGGGATGCCGACAGTCGGGGCCCTGAAGAAGGAACCCTTTTCGTTGGGGAGGGGCTCCGTGTTCCTTGATTGTTTCACAGCTTGCCTCAGGTTTCCCTTTGTGTTTTCGATTGGAGATCGAAGTTTAACTTATGGAAAAAAGGGGCCTCGCTCTTTATTTAGGGGTCATTAGGTCAACGCCCCGACTGTAACAACTCGGCCCTGGAAACGCTGAGATGAGACTCCACCTTGTGGGTCGTCAGCTGCACCTCACCCAGATCGTCCCAGATGCGCCGCCAGAGATCCCGAGTGGTGCGCCGCTCGGGGCCGCGAGCCGACACCCCTCGAGCTACGCAGCTCGACTCGGTGATGAAACGGAGGTCTCGCCCGGGACCCGCGCAGACCTCCACCCACCGATCTGACGCCCGAAGCTCAGCACGATTGACGGTCTGCACGGGTCCTGAGACCCTCTCTGAGAGCCCTTGGACACCGGAGACGTGGGTCCAGACTGGGCTCTTGCTCGCAACCGCTATGGCACAACAGCTCCAGGCACAGCGTCTGAGCCTAGGATCTCGCGTGTTGACTCCACCCGACCGGTCGCCCACCTCCCGCCGCTCCCCAGGGTCCGTGCCGCTGCCGCCTGCAGCGTAGGACCAGCTCGGTTCAATGGGGTCACCACCTGGCGGGGTGACCTCTGTCCAGCTGGACGGCGGGAGGCCTCTCAGCCAGACGACGGGAAAGGAAGAGGCTTCCTCCAGGGCCCTTTCCTCCATATCCTGCGTGTCAACACAAGCATGCAGATTGCAGATAACACTTGGCAGCGCGCTTCCAATGGCGGCGGACATCCGTCTCGACAACACCAGCAGAGCAACGCTGACAGATAGCATTGCACCCCTCGATCGTGCCTTCCTCGAGCAGTCGGCCCCTGGACCAAGTCGCAGCCGTGGCCACCGCGGCGGCCACTGCCACCCACCCCGCAAAACTTGGCCACCCGACGCCGCAACTTGGCCCAGACCGACGCGAGGACCATTTGAACCAACGGCTCGAAGTCGATACATACATGGGCAGGGAGCTCTCACCTCCAAAGGCTACCAGAGGGGTGCCAGAGGGGGCCAACCACTCGAGTCCTCCTCCTCCTCCTCCTCCTCCTCACCCTCCGCCTCCCTTGTATTTTGGTGCATTTGCTGCCGCGGGCACGCGTTGGCTGCGCTGTCGCCTCGGTTGTCTGGCCACCGGGAAAACAAGGCCAACCATTCGAGTCTCTGGGGATCCTGCGGAAGCCACCCGTGGTCCAACAGCACCGCCGAGACGCCAGAGTTCGGCCCAGAGGCCCGAGCCCCTCCGCGGTTCTCCTTGGCCCCGAGGAGCCTCCCAGCCACCCTGGGCCAGCTCCGATGCAGTCTCGCCCGGATTTGGGGAACAAAAAGTGACATAAACATAAAAATTCGGAGGTCCGCGCGGATTTCTCGGATCCGCGCTGGATCCGAGAAATCCGCGCGGACCTCCGAGTTTTTATGTTTATGCCACTTGTTGTTCCCCTGAATCTGTCGCGCCAGGGAGGGGTCACCGGTGAGCTCGAAGGAGCTCGCGACCCGTCGAGAAGGACCAGCTCGACGGCGGGCACCCGAGGGCCCACCTCCACGGCCAAGAAGGTGGCAGGGCACCTGCCTCTCTCGGGTCCCACGAGGGTCGCGCCCATGGAAGCCTGGCATCGCTCGGACGTGTGCATTTTCCTTTCGGCGAGGACCATCGAGGAGCATCCTTGATCATTTGGCGAAAAAGCCACGCACGAAACCGAACAAAAAACACAGGGAATGGACGTCCGAGCGATGAAGCCTGGGTCCTCGAGACCACGGAGGGAGCCATCCCGTGCGCCAGAGCGCCGCACTGACACCGAGGAGCAGGAGGCACCATGGCAATATTGTTCCGAGCCCCACGCAGGCGGCCGACCTTTTGGAAACGCGCTCGATCTTGTGGAGCTGTCTCGGACCCATGGCCACGCGGGCTCCGTGCTTGCGGCGTTGCCTGCGACCTGGGCCCCCGTCCAGGCCTGGGCCGGCCACCGTGCTGGAAGGCTTGATCACGCAGCTACCCCGAGATTGCCTCACAACTGCTTGGGAGGTGTCCCTCGCGAGACCCAAGGAGCTGGCAACCGCCGCCGACTTCCCCGAGATGTTCAGTCACAGGGACTCGGCACCTTTACAAAAATCCAGAGCGGCACCCGCCAGGGCCTCAGTCACGACATGCGCTGGGCCCTCGGCCCTTTGGTTGATGTCATCAACCCACTGCGCTGAGGCAACGCCTCATTCGCGCACTCCGGACCGCGGAGGGCGTACATGTACATGTGTCTCTGCTAGAGTACGGAGGATGAGGAGGAGCAGGAGGAGGAGCAGGAGGAGGAGGAGGAGGAGGAGGAGGAGGTGGTGGAGGAGGAGGAGGAGGAGGAGGAGGAATGGTCAACGAGAAGGCGGGGGGGGAGAGAAGGGGGGATGGTGAGGGTGGGTGGGGGGGAGAAGCGGGAGGGGGAGGTGGGGGAGAAGCTGCAGGATCCCGCTCGAGGCGCTGAGTTGTCAGTACGTGGCGCGGAAGGGGGGGCTTGCGCAATGCTTCCATTTTGCGCAGGGCTCGTGCTGGCGTCACCGGCAAAACCGTCAGTTCAGGTGAGTATAGCTCGCAAGCGTCCGAGATATGCTATTAGATTGTGAAGCGTGGTCCTGGGCCTGGTGTGTACCAGTCTCTGACGTGGGATTCGAGGGCACGGATCCGTCATTACTCGTTCATGGGATTCGTACATGGGTTAGCTTCAATCGGCTGGAAACGCTGCTCAGTAATGGTACCAAGTAAATTCGAAACTGCTGCCCGCGATCGCAGATGCGCACGGGCTTGGCTGCGGATCCTTGGTGCCGCTCTACCTCTCCGTCGTCCTCCCCATCGTTTGAGTCCGAGCCAAATCTGTCGTGGAGCGGGCCTGCAGTCGAGCCCGCACCAACGCCGAGCGGGCACCGCATGGATTCGGCGGGAGTCGAGCCCATTCGGATGCCCAATTGGCACCCGAGTGTTGGCCTGGACGCCGAAGTGGCCTCCTCTTCCTTCCCCTCCCGCCCCATTCCTCTCCCGCCCCCCCCCCCTCCCAGGGTTGAGCAGCTGGAGGAGGAGCTGGAGCAGGCCGAGAGGACGGGCAGGCAGATCGTCGAAACGCTCGAGAAGCAGATGAAGAAGCTGGAGGCAGCATGGAGCGGTCGCTGCTCCCTGGGCCCCACAGTCTCCCTGGTACCAGCATTCACCGTATAGCTTCGGAGTGGAGGACGGGGTTCGGCCTCGGTTGCCAGGGCCCGCGGAAGCAGCCAGCCAACGGTTGCCTTAGCAGTGCAAGGCTCGTGCTGGCCTGCAGTCCGCTGGAGCCTGCGCAGGGCAGGCTCGAAGCCTCCACGGGAGCTGGCCCCGGGCGCCCTTGCCAGACGCCCACGTCTTGCCCACTCTGGTGGCGCTGCGAGCGCGGGCCCCAGGCGCCCCCGCTGCCCGCTTGCGGGGCGCTGCTGTGCAGCGCAAGAGCGCTCCCCAAAGGTGGAGGAGCCTGGCAGAGCCTTGGCCGCCGACGGCCCCGCAGGGCACCCTGAGAGCCTCCCAGAGCCGGGCGCGGCCACGGCCCCAGGCGCCCTCAGCGCCACAGATCGCTGCCTTCTGCGGCGTCCACCGCGAGTGCCGATCGCCGATGTGGTTGGACTGCGCGTGCACAGCTGTCGTGCAGAGGCTCTCTTCGTCCTTGGTCGAGCGGAGGCCGTGGCTTTCGCTCAGCCCCACGTTCAAGTCGGGCCTGTCCCTCTACAGGGGGAATATCCAAAAATAGTCAAAGAATAGTCTGGGGACTACTTTTGGAGTATCTTTTGATCATTTGAGAGTATTGTTTGACTATTTTTTATTTGTCGTCGAAAATCCCCTATGTGGGGGGACACGCCCGACTTAACCCTGGGCCCGCTCTCTCTTGCTGGGGGGATTTGGCCGCTCCTGCGCCTGCCTCGAGCGGCTGCGGGCACCTGCGAGACCGCAGGTGAGCAAGGCATGGCCCGTCGGAGCTGGACGGCGGCACCGAAGCTCCGGAACTGCCAGTAACTACACACTGTTCATGTCTAATTATTCGAAGGTTCCTTGATTTTTTTTGGGGGGGGCAAGACCCTTCCATTTCTAATTGTTCTATCCTGGGCCTCCTTCCTGGCCACTGGGGGGCCAGGAACAATTAGAAACGAGCACATTTAGAAACGAGCACGATTAGAAATGAGCGACGTGTACCGCTGACCGTCCCTCGCCACCATGGCTGAATTCGCGTCGAGATCTGGGCGAGAACGCACCCCAGGCGAGGTCCGCGGAGTGTGGGGGAAGGAGAAGCGACGCCACCACCATCAGGGGGGCCACCTCCAGCGAGGAGGTCCACGATACCTCCCCGAGGTGAGGACAGGGGGATGTCTCGAGCGAGAGGGGGGACCACGCCACCAGGGGGACCCCCCCTGGCTCCTCCCGCTGGTGGTCCCTGGTGGTGGTGGTGATGGTGGTGGTGGTGGTGGTTGTGGTGGTGGTGGTGGTGTCGCTTTTCCTTTTTCCTGCGGCGTAGCGGTGCCAGCGCCACTTCGCCCCCCTCGCGGAGCCTCTGGCTGGGCGTCCCGAGCATGGCCCGCGGCGAGCACGGTCCTCGCGCAGCGCGAGCGCGGCCAGCACTCGCGCCACCGGGAGAGGGCGCGACCGGGGACGTGGCTCGGGTCGGATGCGGGGTGCAAGGGGGCAGGGAAACGGGGGCGTCACGGAAGCTGCTGCATGCAGTCGGTCTCGTCCCCGCCGCCGGGCGATGTCCCCGACACGCGGGCGCCTCCTGCGCCAGACACGGCAGCTGCGTTGGCCGATCCGCCCCCCCCCCTCTCTTTCTGCTAAGTCTCCCCCCGTCGTCCGCCCCGGCTGTGGGGTCCTGCTACGGAGCGGAGGAGGGGGGGCAGGAGCAGCACCACCCGCCCTCCTCACAAGACGAATGCGGGCGGCGCTGGGACGGGAGCCACGTTGTGAAAACGGCCCGAGCTCAGTCCTTGAAGTTGTTGCACACCTTGCATGGCGAATGTTCTCTGCGCTCGGGCGAGGGCCACATTTTGAAAACTACCCGCCCTGCATCCGTGAAGCTGACCCAAGCTTTCAAGACGAGTGTGCGCGGCGATACGGCGAGGGCAGTCAGAAAGGACCCGACCTCCATGCTTGAAATTGTTGCATGTCAGCGTTTAAGACAGATCTGCGCAGTGCGAAGGCGAGAGCCGCATTTAGATAAGGACCTGCCCTCCATTAGTTCTTCTGTTTCGATTTCAAGCCTGAGGATCATGCATGGCGAGGACGTTCCAGGCGAAACGCAAATGGCGAGGAAGTCTTAGGCGAAACGTCCTGCCATCACTACCGACCCGTCTGTGGGGTGTGACAGGGATGAGTTACTCATAAGGAAAATTGGTTGAGGAAGGAGTCGGAGGAGGATGAGGAGAGGGAGGGGGAGGAGGAGACAAGCTATCTCCTTGCTCCGGTGGGGTGCACTCCTCCTCCCCACTGCCCTCTGGAGTATCCGAGGGGCTCCATTTCCTTCTCCTCCTCACCGAGCCTTGGAGGCTCAAGAGGAGGATTCGGCGTAGGCCCCAAATCTGCCACTGCCGTGCTGGGGGTTCTGACTGATCCTGCTTAGCCATCAGCTCGCACATCCTCCTCCCTCTTGCAGTCGACGAAGAGAAGCCGCCATACAGTCGGGGCCCTGAAGAAGGAACCCTTCTCGTTGGGGAGGGGCTCCGCGTTCCTTAAGTGTTTCACAGCTTGCCTCAGGTTGTCCTTAGGTTTTCGATGGGGAATCGAAGTTTAACTTGTGGGAAAAAGGGGCCTCGTTCCTTATAGGGTTCCGTAGGTCAACGCCCCGACTGTAAGCAGCAGCCTTTCGAAGGCCCGCTCGGGTGTCTCGGATCTGCGCCGGAACCCTCCCGGCGGCGCCTCCGGTGCCGCCGCCGGCCCGCCCCGCGAGCCAGAGAGGGGCGGGCCCGGCCCCGATCCAAGAGACCCGCACGGGCCTCCGAAGTCTTATGCTTGGCATCGCTCGGACGTGTGCATTTTTATGTCGGCGACGGCCATCGAGGACCATCCTTGATCATGTGGCGAAAAAAATAAAAGCACGCACGACATCGAAGAATAAATACACGAGGAATGGACGTCCGAGCGATGGCGAGTATGCGCGCGGTGCTGGTTCGGCCTCCTGCGTCTGTCTGCGGCATGATCGGCCGCTGCGCCTCGGGCCTGACATCTGCGCGGGCCCCGCGCCCCCGCGCAGATGTTCGGCCCGAGGCGCAGGGCCTTCGGGCAGGGCCCCCCGGGGGCCCTGCCCGAAGGCCCTCCCCTCGCCAGCAGCCGCCTTCGGCGTGGCCGCTGGCCCTGGGCTCTCTCTCTCGAGGCCGCGCCTGGGCCCTCGAGCGGGGCGAGTCGGCAGACGCGGACTCCGCGTTCGACCCGTCCCCCTGTCTCCGCTCCCCCTTTAGTGTGCAGTCGGCACGAGGGTCAAGCTTCGGAGGGGTACATAGCCAAGACGCCGAGGTAAGGCCCGCTCTGGCTTCGGGAGGGACTCGCTGCTCCTTGGGCCTTTCCATGGCTGTTCCTCTGGCCCTCCTCGTGCACGCAGGCGCTTCTGGGGCCCAGCGGGGGCTTCGACCCTGATGTACTTCTCGCGGCAGCCCGACTGCGCCCTTCAGCTCTTGGCGCCAGGGCTCCCCACCATGGCGTTTCCGGGGCTTTGCCCCCTCCTGGCCTTGACGTGAGGCCCCTCCTTCTGCCCCCCCTCTTTGTTAATTCAAGCTGTGCGCGGCCCGCTTAGCTTCGATCAGAAGAGGTGCGCTCTCGACCCGCGAATGAAAACAAATCCCCACCATGGCGTGCTCCTCGCTCGGGGCGCCTCCCTGGGGCCTCTAGGCCTCCTTCGGCAGAGGCGCGCCTGCTCCCGACCCATATTCGGGGGTGGACAGAACCCCCAACAGTGACACGTCGATTAGTGAATTGTCCGTTTTCGGTTCTCGAGAGGGCGCCGCGGCCGTTATTTTCCAGGCTTGCGCCCGCCAGGTTTGGGCCTCAGGTCGTTTTCACTAAGCCACGTTTTACTAAAGGGAGGTCTGTCCATCCCCGACATGTGCTCCCGTGGTCCTGTTTCGACTGCGCCGCGAAGCTGCTCCTCCCGGTCTCCCTCCCTTGGAGGCGCGGAGGGCGGAGGGGACGGGCCCTCCCCCTCTCGGAGGGCTCGGGAGGCCTCCGGCTCTCCGTGAAGCTTCCCGAGCCTTCTCCGAAGCCGCGGAGGGCCTCTCACAGGGCCGAGGGGGCTTCTGCGAAGCGCCGCCGCTGTCTGACGAGGCCTGCCAGGTATCACGTGCCGTTTGTCGTGCTGCTCCGGGGGGGGGGGGGGGAACACGCTGGGAGGAGTTCGCTTCCCGTGACACCAGGATGCCGGTGCGGAGGCGCGTGTCATACAGAACCCATTTGACAAGGCCCGCCGCCTTTCCTCGGGCGGAACGAAAGAGGAGGAGGAGGAGGAGGAGGAGGAGGAGGAGGAGGAGGAGGAGGAGGAGGAAATGACAAGGAAAGGGAGGGGTTGCTGTACGCAGCTGGTTGCCGCCCCGCCGCCGGGCCCATTCCTCAATAGTGGGGCGCCTCCCGGCGCCGGGAGGCGCCAGGAAAGCCAGCTGCGTGAGCCTCGAGCTGGTTCTCTCAAGCAGCGGCGAAGCGTCCTGGCTCGCCTATAGCCCTGCCAAAGAATGTTCTAAGAACCTTTTGTGGCTTCCAGGACATGTTCTTAGAACATTTCTGGCGGAGCCTGTCTTGTTTAAACCCATCGGGGATCTGTTCTGAGAGCATTGCTTTTGTTCTTAGAACATGTTTGGGTTCCAAGAACATTCCGTGGTAGGACTAGGAATGCCGGGACGGTCGGTCCCTGCTCGGTTCTCTACCCGAGTTGCCCTTTGCCATGCTGCCCGTTCGTCCCCTCCGATGGCCCCCCTCGCGGCGCGCCGCCGCCTCCGCCCCTAGACTCCTGGCCGAGGCGCGCCCGGGCCCGGGCGCCCCTGCCCCTGGCCAGGGGCGCCCCTGCCCGAGGGGGAGGGTGGGTGAGAGAGGGCTGCGGAAGAGGGAGGAGGAGGGAGGGAGGAGGAGGGAGGAGGCGGATTTCAGCCGAGGATGTTGGGGACCGCCCCCCTCGCGCCGCGCTGGTCGCCTCCCTCTGCGGCGCCAGATGGAGGTCCGCGCCCCGCGTCGGGTGCGCCCGCGGCGCGGGGCCCGCAGCTCCCGCCGGGAGTGCCCCTGCCGAGGGCGACCTCGAGGCCGAGCGGGTCCGGAGCGCCGAGTTCGCGAAGCAGGCCAGGGCCTTGCAGGAGGGGTACTCGGACCTGTCCGACAAGCTGGCGGCCCGGGCGACGAATCGCGAGCGACTGGGGGCGTTCCTCGGCCGTGCTGCTGCAAAGGAAGAGAGTTCGCAACCTGGAGCGTGTACATTACCCGTGGCGGATTGTTTTTTCAGTCCCACGACTTTTTGAGGGTCGGGGACGACGTCGGGGTGGTGTGGTGTATACTTTTCCCCCGTTTTCCTAAGGAAACAGCGACACACATGTATACACGAGGATCCCGTATACAACAGTATCCGCGTTCCTGTGCGAATTTTAGCGCAGGGTCGGAAATAAGCGTCGGTGTATAGAGCTCGTTTCCCTAAGAGTGGCTCCTGAAAAGGTGGCCTTAGCGGGGGGCAGAAGAGAGGGAGAGAGAGAGAGAGGGATGCAGAGAGGACAGGGAGGACAGCCTCTCCCCTCGTCGTCTTCACCCTCAACCGAGGTGGGGCGAATGGATGCCAGGGTTCCCAAGATGCTCCGAGCTGCTCGGGGCGTCCAGGGGCAAGGGTCGTAGCGATGCTCTGGGTCACAGCCTTGAATGAGGAGAAGGTTTCGCCAAGGTTCGTGGCAAG